TCCGGCCAAAAATATCTTGTGTTCAAGTTATGTTTATTGTGTCACACATCCCTCATACACATATATGGTACATATATCTGTTGAACATTTAAATGGTATGTGCTCACTGTCATGCTCACTTGACACATTAATAACTTGCAACGACCTATATCCTTGCTAACTAGGATGGTTTTTGTGAACTGAAATTGGTATTTGAATCTTGGATTTATCAACGAACAAATCTATCTTAGTTGACTAACATGCTTTACTAGTAAGTCCAACAAATTATAATTTTTATATATAGGTTATTCCACCTGGTACCAATTTCACTATGCAATCTTGATCTTTAAAGGCTCTTGACTAAATTAGGACCCAGCCGAATTCACTCTTAATTCTCAAGAAATCCATCATTAATTCAAACTCTACTAACCCACCTTGGGCTAGGCTTCTATCTAAACAGACTTGGGACTTAGGAGTTTGTCTAACTCTGGGCCGAGCCCATAATCATACTTGGCCCAAATCCATTATTTTGGGTCCAAACATGTTTATATAAATTATATTAAAAAGAAATTAAATAGCTACAGACTCAAATGGTAAAGTTGGACAACGTTTAGTTATATATTATCAATAGAGAATCTCTCACTGATTTGCATATTACCTAGAAAATCTTTACGCAATTTTGAAATTAATTATTATGATATGAATTTGTAATCGGAACAAGGCAAAGGCCCACATAGCAACAAAGCTGTACAAAAACAACTTTGCTATTCTTATAGAGAATTAATCAGCCAGCAGGTGATCTAAGTAAGGCACCATGTAAGCTATCGGCCATGCCTGAAGTTGCATGAATTTTTCATATCAGTTAAAAAAAATAAAAAAAAAACTAGTTGAAATAAGTTGTCGACTGAACGAGAATTCGTCGACAGACATTTGTCGGAAAAGAGCAGTTGGGGAAAACTCGTTGCGTGATAACCTAACCAACGGATAAACAAGTCCGTTTATTAAGTTGTGATCTAACCGACAAAATACGCTGTCTGATAATAACGCGTTTAGCCGACGAAATATACCTTGATCGCTAGAATATAATTAAATAATGGGGTGAGATTATCCCGATTACACCTCCATCGGCCAAAACTTTATTAAAAAAAATTAAAATGATAACTATTTTATTTAATTCTAAAATTAAAAAATAATATACAAAAAAAGAAAGAAAAAAAAATATTAAATTCCAATATTTAAAAAAATAAGCATTGTTAAAATGACAACTTACAACCCAAAAAAGATTGTTCGGACAAATATAACGTAGAAAAAGTAAAAAAAGATATAGTAAACTATTGTGCTAGGGGGGTTTGCTGACAGTTGGGGCGGCTCCTGAGACGACTGTTGGGGGGGCTCCTAGAATGGTTACACAAGCTTGGACGGTGGTAGGGGAATTGTAATCCCAGAAGCTGACAAGGACTAAGTACGACCATGAAGTACAAGCGCAATAATTCCTTTTGGTGCGCGGTATGGGATGCACTTGAGCTTGCTTTGTAGAAAACACAGCCAAGTTGTACGCGGAAAAAGTGATTGCACCAACGAATCAAGCTAAACACATGTTTGTTTGATCCAATCTACGAACTGAAAGTGAGATCTTGCAACCACGTAACACCTGGATTTGCAAGAATGGCTACTACGCGGTTTTCATCAAATGGCACCAAACTGTTAATGCTCAAAACTGGTGTGGCTAACAAAGACCAATATGTTTGTGTTCAGCCCTTGGTGGGCTCGGGGTTTTGAATTATAAGGACTGAACAACAATATTTAAGTGCTTTACCCCTTGAAATTGGGCGATGTCCATTGAGCCTTTCGTATATATTAGATAAAAGATTACAAATAGCGCCCGACTTTCACACAATCTTTTTTCTCTTAATTCGTCCTACCCCTTCTAAGGATTACTCATCCTTCTTATATAGGCCCTCCATAACCTCAACTCCCTAGTCTCAAGATCTTTCATTGCATTTGCATTTAATGTGCTAAATACGTATACTTGACCTGCTAGTTACACATCTATTCTTTAGTTGACACATGGCAGCAAAATGACATCCCTTTAGGTCCACTTGCATGCTTTCATAGGACAACATGTACTGAGTGCCTTGCTCAACCTAGGATAAGGTTCTAAAAGACGCTAGGCGCTAGTCGGACGGCCGGCTAAGGCCTAGCGCCTAGGCGGACTAGGCGGATTTAATTAAATCTATTATATTTTGTGTAAATAAGTGTGTTTATACTTAAAATATATATGATTTCATCATAAACTACAAAATGGAATGACATTGATAGGAGCATATTTATGCTAGTTAGTTATGTTGTTTCCTTGCATTTAGTTACTTAATTACTATCTATTTTAGTCTTTTAAGCTATTTTCGTATGTTTTTAAGTCCTAATGGCAAAAGGAGCAAGAAAGTGCATTTTGAGGCTATTTGGAGCAGTTTTGGGCATGGATTGGATAGCTTAACTATGGAGCAATGTGGATGGACGAAATTGAAGTCAAGAGATGCTAGGAAAGGCTAAAAATCTGGAGAAAGAAGTCCAAATGCAAAGAAAATGAGGAAAGAGCAAGAAATAAGGAACCTTATCCAAATTTCCTTATCTTATCCAAACCTTATCCAACCTTATCTTATCTTATCCTATCCTAATCTTTTCCTACCTTAATTCCAACTTTAAAGAGGACTCCTTTTCACATTAAATCACCTAAATATCAAGTTCTAGAAGCCCTATTTTCGTGCATTGAGTTTATGCCACATTTAACCCTTCTAGAAGTTCTAGAATCTGCCACAAGGACCATTCCTTGTCCTCCTTGGAATCTAATTGAAAGTATCCTTGTTCTTTGGTGATTTGGGGTCTTAATTCCTCTCATTTTCAGCCCAAATTCGTGCCTCCCCTTCACCCTATAAATACTTGATGCCACAACACTCAAAAACCACCACCCTCTACCCCAAATTCACACCACACCATCCACCACACCTCAAGAGCCTAAATTCACACAAATCCCCATTGTGTGCAGCAAGGAAGGAAGGAGGAGCCACCTGGAGTGTTTCTAGGTGTATTCTATCTTTGTTTTTAATGTTTAAGTTTAATTATCTTTGTTTTGCGAACATGAGGAGCTAAACTTGTTTTAGCTAGAGGAGACTTTGAAACCATGATTATATTTGCAATATGAATTGATTAATTTCAGTTGTGATTTCATAAATTGTGAATGCAATTTACTTAACCGTTTGATGGATAACTTATTCTTGTTTGTTGATTAAGGGTGCACACTTAATTTGCATGCTTGAATTCGGTGCTAGAATATAAGGTAAATTCACATAATCGTTACAAACTTATGTTCACAAGTAGTTAAGGTTGTTTTCACAATCATGTTAAGTAAATTCCTAGCATGAGTATCATGATGTCATAGTTACAAGTGCTTTGTCAATACTTATGATTTTCATAGAACATAATGATCTTTGATTGTATCTCTATTATGATGTCATGTAGGGGACTTTTGAAGAATGCTTTGGGTTGTCGTATGATGTCATCCAATCCAATAACTTAAGGAAAATCTGAGGGTTAATTAGTGATGTCACAGTTAATCTGGGGTGTTGAGGTTCATGGTTTATTGAAAAGCAACTGGAAATCAATTTGTATGCAAGTGTGTCATGTGTGGAGAAGGACCCTCTAGCTATCTAATCATCCATCGTTTTTCCCAAATTCGTCCAAATCCTATTTAAGTCTTTTAGTTATTTGTTTTTATCTTAAATTCGTCAAAACCAAAACCCCCCTTTGTTTTAAGTGTCAATTAGGTTAGAATTTGAGCTATTGTGTGTTTTTTAGTGTTTTGAGTCAAAACTAATTCAATTTTCGTCCAAAGTAAGTCCTAGAGTCTAGTTTGAGTCTTTTTGATTGTTTTGTGTTGTTTTGAGTCTTTTGAGTTTATTTTGAGTCATATAGGTTTAGTTAAGAGTCTTTGAGTTTGTTTAAGTGTTTTTAAGCATATTTTTGTATCTTTGAGTCAGTTTTCATTAGATTAGCAATCCCTCCTAATCCCCGGCCTAAAACGATCCCTACTTATATCTATACTACAATTGTCAAAAAGAGGGTTTAATTTGTGTGCTATTATATATATCACATCAAATTTTTGGCGCCGTTAAGTATTCAACAAGTCTCTTACAATTTATTGAAAAATTAAAATGCAAGATAAAAGTTATCTATTTTCTGTCTAAGTGAGTTGCAACCTAGGCCAGTATCTAAGCGAGCTTGGGTGGGCTAGGCGGGTGCCTAGGCAGGCGCCTCAATAGGTCTAGGCGCCATTTCTTAGTTTTCAAACTCTTAAGCATTAATCGGGACATTGGCCAATCGCTTAGCACCGTCTAGGCGTTAGGCGGTGCTAGGCGCGGATTTTTAGGACAGTGACCTAGAAGTTGGTGGGAATCCACGCCCAAGTACTTTTGTGAGTCATTACATCCCTTCACAGACTTCTGTTCTCTTTGATAGCTGCAACGTGGCTTGGAGTTGATGTCTAAGTAAGCATGTCTCTGTGTCCTTGGGATTTTGTTCTATAAAGTTGTCAATGCCCCAACTTGCTCCCGGTGTTTGGAAAGCATTTTATGGGGAAGCACTCGACTTCATTGCTGATGTACAACTCGGAATGACGAGCAGTCATGTGTAGCACTAGGGATCGTTCTTTCCAATCTTGTTGAGCCTCAACCTTTCTTCCTTCGGGCGTGCATTCTTTTGGGCCTTTGAGGGTCAGAAAAGAGGGATTTTCAAAGCACTCAAAATTCGGAGTAGTACACCACATGTAGTTATAATTGGAAGGACACTTGAAAAAGAAAAAAAAATTCATCATTGATATAATAAAATGTGACATATCGTCCTATATTTCAAACCCATTAAAAAATCTCTTGTCGGAAAGGATCCTGCGATAAAAATAGGACCCAACCTCTTAGTCTGACATGGCAAGGTTTCATTGGTCACCACCGTAGTGGACCAAACGTCACAGGAGGAGTAAAGATAAAACCGATTATTAAATAGCGGGTAATACCGTCGTACATGTAGTCGATGAAAACATTGAAAAGGCACTATCTTTAAGTAATCATCTCTTATCTGCAAAGCCAAGAAGAACTCAGCAGATTGTCGATCACTCCTCTCCAATCTTTTCTGTAAGCTTTCTTCAGTTATTTGATTTTGGGTATGTTTGTTTCCCGAGAAAAAGAAGAAAAAAACAGAAAAGATAATATTGGAGTGTTATTTTATTTTATTTTATCCTGGATTGTTATATTTGTTCAAGGCATCTAATCAGGGAATTAGGTACATAATCAATTGTTTACATGATAGAATTTCTTTGATTCTCTGAGAGAAATTGGTGTTTTTTTCTTCTGGGTTTTGGATGTTTTCTTGAATTTTACCACTTTGATCATGGCTTCCACACAATTTCTTAATTTGAATCAATTTTTTTATTTTATTTAGTAAATTGTCTATAGATTGCCAATAAGGTTTGGTCCTTGTTATGCAGTGGATTGTAGAAAAAATGACCAAAAGCAGCTTCAAGCAAGCACATGAGTTTGGTAAGTTTTGGTGTTCATGTGCTGAATTTGTTTATGCTTTTAGTATATTCTATTCCAAGTTATCATTTTCAGCAATTGATTTTGCGATGTTTAAGTCTACGAAATCAGTTGTATAAACGTGTGGTATCTTTATATGCAGAGAAGAGACGCGCTGAGGCCGCAAGGATTAGAGAGAAATATTCAGACAGAATTCCTGTAGGGACCTACCTTTAATCTTTAAATTTGGGATTTTCTTATTTTCATTCCTCTGTGTGTGCCGAATTTTGCTATTACCTTGCTATTTGTCAATATCAGGTGTTTTTTATCTCTCTTTCCGCATCTTGAAGATTTAGGAGTTATTTTGACATTTCATAGGTCCAATCATGTTTCATAATTTTGTATCACGCATAGTAGCTGCATAATCTGTTTCAGACTGCATTGAAGAGAGTCATGTTTTGATTAAAAAACTTCAAAGAGCATGTGTTGTCATAATGTGGGATGGCAACTGCAGGTTTCTTGGTGTGTACCTTGCTTCCGAATTAAATTATAGATATTATAGTCTCAAGTTATACAAGATGTTCAAGTAAGTGATGGTAGAGTTTATTGTTTGATTAGTGCTCACAACACTTATTATTTGGTGTGTAGGAAATTCTTATGTAATACAAATCAGTGAGTGATGCTTGAAAAAAGGGAAATTATGCACCGGAATTTATCCGTCATGTGTTACATGATCCAATTGGAAAAAATATCTTGATACCAAAAAAAAAGATCATTAAGTCACAAATTGGCAATACATTGTAGAAATAAAAGTAAAATGAATGGTCTTAGGAAAAGTTTGCATTAAAACGTGTATTTTCACTGTGCTATGGGTATATAGTACTTCATTTCTTGGATAAGATGAGGAACAAAAATTTGGTGTCGAGGTGGCTTTATAATGTGTTGATGATATATCTGCATGTGTGCCTTGGTGCTATGAGAGATGTTTTATATCAGTATATTGCAAATTATTGAGAGCGAATGCCTTTTCTTTAGTAAAGAGGTACGATGACCGTAAGTTACTTGTTTCCCCGTAAAAGAACTTAGCCTTGGTTTATATTAGCGGGCATGGAAACTCATTAATATTGTTTTGATTTCTCCATCAAGGTCAGTATAACAAAAATTCTTTTCCTGGGTATATGATGGGCTTATTGTTCTTCGTTTCATGGAATGTTGGAGAGTAGATGCTTAATAGTCATCCAATGGCAATTGTGACTGTGAGCAACAACTACGAATTCACTGCATCTATATTCTTTTTCATGCATATGCTAGATGCGTTGTATGTTTATTTGGTATATAAAAGGGAATGGCTGAATGATGATTATCATTGAAAACCATGGAACCATCATGGACTTAGATACTTAGATCAGTAACACAACCTCCGACACCCACACACACACATGATTATTCAGATGGTGCTTCTTGATCTCTTCTAAACAGTGCATGTGTTGCATTCAGTCCATGCATGACTAGTAGTATTGGTTCAGTTGCATCATAATACAATGCACTCGTGGTATCCCAATCGTTGCTTCTGTTAATTATTTCTTTTCTGATTTGAAGGTGATTGTGGAAAAGGCAGAGAGAAGTGATATTCCCAACATTGACAGGAAAAAGTAAGCACCAGTTTCACATTACTTCCTCTTATGTAATCACTTTTGTGAGTAAGCTGCAGCTCTATTGTCATCAGTATAAATTTATTACTTTGGAAACATATAAGGTTTTCCCATTTTGAGTAAACCACACACCCGCCCACTGGATGTTAAACCCAAAATCTCCATCCTCCCTTGTTCTTAAAGGAGGAAGAGGTGTCACTAGGCCTGGCGTTCATGGACTGTATCTCCGTCCTCTCTGATTTTTTGTTTAGATTCAATGTGGGCTCAATTGTTGTATTGTATTATAATTTGTGAATGAACAGGATGCTGTTTGATACAGTACTTACTGCTAAACTGCTGATGTAGTTCTATATATTAACGACTTGATTTGCTACTTAACAGATACCTAGTTCCAGCTGATTTGACTGTGGGTCAGTTTGTCTATGTCATCCGTAAGAGAATTAAACTGAGTGCAGAAAAGGCAATCTTCATATTTGTAGACAATGTCCTCCCAGCTACAGGTATCTAGTGAAACTTCTCTCTGTCTCGCCCCTTCTGATTTGATTTTTAATTTTAGGGTATGTGTTAAATATGATAACGTAGTTTTACCTTGGTAAATAGTTAATGCCATATTGAAGTCAAACTTTAACTGGAAAGATGTCCAACACAGATTCTTAGATATGATTGAACTTTTGCAATATCCATGGAGATTTTCGAAGAAAAAAATGTGCAGAAATGACGCTGTGGTTTTCATTTTCGTGTCAAACAATGAGCAGGCTGTACTTAATTCTTTCTATGAATCAAAGCTTAGTTGGAATATATCATAAGATTCTGGGAGATAAACTTTTTTTACAATATTTGGATTTGGAAGAAGGAAATCTGATCGTGGTAAATAATCCACTTCCTGGTTGAAGTCAAAAGAAAAGAGTTTACTTCATGACCAATCAAGGATTATGGTCACGGTAAAGTGTCGTATTCCTGGAAAGTCAACTCGAAAGATGTTCAGTAATATTCAGATTTGTAAAAGTTATGACATCGTGTCTACTTTTCCTCGAAGATTATGAAGGCCATATTTCATGTTTTGCAGGAGCAATAATGTCTACCATATATGATGAAAAGAAGGATGCAGATGGATTTCTTTACGTTACATACAGTGGCGAGAACACATTTGGGTAGCGGATGATCAGATGTTGTCATATTTCTTTGTCGTTATAATCGTCGTTCCATCGTTATATTACGCATCTCCGTTAACACGTTATCTTCTACAATACCAGCACTCTGCTTAATATATAACTGCACTCTGTTTATCTGTGCAGGAATGGTTTGTATATAGCTTTTTAGCAACTTATAAGATGCCAATCTAATGAATAATTCCTAATCATATGCTTTTTATCTATCATGGTCTGTGGAGCATTCTCTTATATCGTATTAAATACTTTGGTATTTTTGTCGATGTAATGATATTGATCGTTTCAGTCCTTAAGTTTCTAATATATAAGGATCATCTTACATAAAGACAATATATACTTTACATAGTACAGGCTACGATGGAATGAAGGATTAGAAAATTGAGGATTACAAGGAACGGGTATGGGATAAACAACCTTGCTTATGTTAATGGGATACCTTCATTTTTCAGGTTGATGGAATCCACATAATTAATGCATTTTTTAGATGTTAGTAAACGCAGCAATGAGAATCGTACTCATTCATTATCATTTTCATACATGGTAAGTAAACTGTAAAAAAGTGACTTCGATCATGAGATTATTACTAAGAAAGTAAGAAATGATTTTCATACATTTTTTCATTTTTTTTACGCATTTCTGTGTATTTTTATTTTTTCTAAAAATAAATCAAATGTAAATTTATGTATAGAAAAAAAAAAAAAAAAAAAAAAAAACCTAAGAATGTGCATAAAGATAATAAAAGATGTGCATAAATCATTTCTTCTACTAAATTCCGGAGTGAATAATGTGACCATCTTGTCTCATTCTTTCACTGTGGTGTCTATTTTTTTTTTTTTTTTTCCTTTTTCCAAACAAGCTAATTTCATTAAGAGAAATTTTATTTAAACCCATATAACCTCTTTCTACACTTAACTTACTCTATACACCCATATTAATTTCAATTAAACTATCAATATCTCTTTAAACCCAAATATCTCCCTAAACTACCCTCACGAGCCCAATTCAATATATAAATTTTTCTTTACACCCATTTAGAAACTAAACCCAAAATCAATTGGAGACAGTTCTTGACACACCCCGACCCAGAAAGTCCACTTGGACCCTGAATCGAGCTGTGCTGGCCGACACCTGGAAGGTGACGAAGCCATAAAATGTGATAGTGCATAAAAAGTGGATAAATTTGAATCTAAAAGTGTCTAAATACCAGAGTGCGCTACGAGTGGGAGCGAACCCATTTCACGCGCGATGTCAGAGCATAAGTAAGGTACAGTAATGTGAGTAAGAATCATACCCTAAAAAATATCCATCAATACTAAGATTCGCCACAGATTTTTGTCGATACAAACTCAGCAGCTAAAACCTGGAGGGCACCAAAGAGAAGGTGTGAGTAAGCAATAAAACCAAGCTTCCCAAAGTTACTACCTCTCTAAAAGTAATGCCCCTAAATGTACAACCCGTATCGTTTTCCGTAAGATAGTACAACATATATACATATATCCAAACCATACTCGGAAATGACCCAAACCACGGTTTGCCATCAACTCCACCATACATCAATAAGTAGGCCAAATGAACTAAATCAATACAAAATGATATATCAATCAGAGTCAGCTAAAATGACATGTACAACTTATCTGTATCTCATCAATCATGGCTAGTATATAAGTCGGAGTCGCCTATAGTGACCTGTACGACTTATCCACATCTCGTCAATCCTGGCTAGCATATAAGTCGGAGTCGCCTATAGTGACCTGTACGACTTATCCACATCTCGTCAATCCTGGCTAGCATATAAGTCGGAGTCGCCTATAGTGACCTGTACGACTTATCCACATCTCGTCAATCCTGGCTAGCATGTAAGTCGGAGTCGCCTATAGTGACCTGTACGACTTATCCACATCTCGTCAATCTTGGCTAGCATGTAAGTCGGAGTCACCTATAGTGACCTGTACGACTTATTCATATCTCATCATAACATGTGCAACACATGGCAACCAGTACGACAGTATCGAAGTTGCCTAACTCATAACTGTAGTCATGCTATAACTCAATCGATTCAATTAATACCATAAACTCACCTGAACTTACCTGGGTGTCCTGAGTTCACCTTTGCACTTGAAAGCATTCCCAATAATTATAAGCAAGTAATATACATATGGATATATCATGATGCAATCTACTACTCAACCATGTCGTAGCATTTTCAATTATAAACACTATGGTGTGAAGTGTACAATCAATAACGCCATACTCCCAAACTACTTATTTTCAGGGATAATTATCCATAACAATCCAATTAACTCTAATTTAACTAACTAATTCACAAAACTAAAACTTGTCTTTACCAATTTCCTTCGCATTACTCAATTTCCCAAGCAAGGCTTTTGTCTCAAATATTTTATGGCTGCATCTAACGTCTCGTTAGACTGCCTACGTACCCTAAACAGGGATCAAGCCATTCGTAGTTCACATTGTACGTCAAGCATTCACAATAATTATATATGAAAGTAATATGCCTAATCAATTTAAAGGTGTCGATAGAACTCTCAATAATATGCACAATAAAAAGGAAAAGATCCACTCACCTGGAGTCCACGCTATACTACTCTAGCACGCGCATCGAGGCGTCCTGAATGATCGGTCCCTGTGGCCAATTATCAAATCACATCTCAGAACTCTTATCTGAAGAATATGCAATTCACATAAAACACAACCTCGACGACTTTCTAAAATAGGTTGAGACCTATTGACCACAAGTCAACCGTCGATCAAAGATCGACGGTAGGGTTTACAACCCTGTATAACCTGACCCGGAAGATCCGCATATCAGATTTCCAATCTGCAACTTCCAATGATCCACAATATGTTTCTAGAATAACATCTTAAAATTTCATTACGATCCAACGGTCAGATCTTCGCCAATTGCCTAAAACAAGTGGCCGTGAACATTTATTTTACTAACTTACAAATCCAATTCAGGAAGATCCGTAAGTCGGATTCCCGATCCGTAAATTCCTATGATCTTTAAATATTACGTATTATAATGTATCCAATTTTGGTGACGATCCAACGGTCGGATCATCGATTCACATTTTTATCAAGTAGCGTATTATAACGAATTTAGGTTCCAACGATCAACCTACGTCATTCAAATGACAAAACTGAATTCAAAACATTCGACATAGCCTAAAAATAGCATTAGCGGCTCACCGGCCACGCGCCGCCGCACGCGCCGCCGCGGGTGGCGGTCGGCCGCCCCGACTCGCCGGAAAAATCCAACTAATTCCAAAAATTATCAAACTTCACAGAAATGAAGATCTCAGTGAGTGGAGCAACTTTCATACCTGCCACGAAGTCCAAAAGTGGACGGAAGATGGTCAATTTTGCCCACGAAGCCGGTGGGTGCCTAAAACTTCCCGACGTCGATTCGTCGTCTACGGTGGTCCAACGGGGTCAAGGTTGGTTGGGTTTTGCTCCTGGGATGATGGGCTACAAAGCCCAAGTGGTGGCATCGGCCATCGCTTTGCCGATTTGCCGGAAAATGGAGAAGGGTGGCCGGAGCACCATTGATTTTCGTCAACTTTCGTGGCCTCAAACCTCCACATCCCGTGGTCAATCAAGGTGGTTCTTGGGTGGGTTTTGTAAAGGGGAATGAGAGCTTCAAAATGGTGGTGGTGGCATCGAAAAACTCCACCGGAGTTGGCCGGAATCGGCCTTGGAATATGGCCTCGCGGTGGTGCGGGTATGGGTGCACGGGATGCCTTTTTCCCTTTTTTTTTTTTTTTTTTTTTTTTTTTTTTCTTCTCTCTTTCTGATTGGGCTTCCATTAATTTAAATAAACACTCACCTTGAATAACCAATTTCGAACGTCCGTAACTATACCGTTATAATTCGGACTCGCAAACGGTTTTCGCCTATACGTTCGTACCAATGAGTACTACGAGGATATGCTAAAAGAATAAGTCCCACATCTCTCAAGTCAATGGTCAACAGAAGTCAAAGTCCGTGTCTCTAGGGCAATTTCGTAAACTCACGCTTTTAAAATAAATTAAAAATGTAAAATTTGGAACGGGTTGTCACAGTTCTGTTTTTGAAATTATTTTCTTATCTAATTCTTAAGTGTGCAAACCTCCTACTCCAATATTTCTCAGGAAGAAAGTACCCATGTAGGATGGTGATCCTCTTCTCTTTTTTCTCGCTATAGTCGAAAATATAGTCACAATGATATACATTGTTCTCACCTGTATAGGACGGATGATAATCGTTATCATCAATGTCCCAATCTTCTTCTGTTTTAATGCCACGCAAAAACCATATTTGCTTAATGCATCAATCATATGCTATATGTTGAGTTCATGTTAATCGGTTTAAATTATTCTTGAATATATATCAAAGAAGAACTCAAGGACTTTATCAAAGTCGTATTTGCTGTATTTCAAGTTGTTAGAAGTAAGAACAATTTTGCTAATTATCACTATATTCCGGATTTGGACTTCACTTTTGGAGATGAATCCTTTCGCATTGGTTGATAGATGACACTGTTGCTTTCAAGAACTTCAAAAAGTACATTTTTTCACTCCAGTTGTTTTTACCTTGTCTGTTTTTCTTATGTATATGCCAAGCTATTTACTAGCGTTTTAGCTTCATTATTTTTATGTTTTAGTTGGTGGTAGTATTGAATTCCCAATGCCTTTTGGAAGAGTTATGAGTCCTATAGAGAAATTTATCCACGGGTTAACAGAGATCTTCTTTGCAAGCAATATACTTTTAAACTCTAAAAAAAATTAAATCAAATGAGAAAAAACGTGCATAAATTGATTTATATCTTAGTTGAAGGATTCGGAACTTCAAAATCAGCATCCATTAGTCAAAATGAACATAGGATAAAGATTGAGTGATGGTGGAGTTTGATTATTGAGTACGGGTTTATTGATAACTTTTAGTTTTATTATTAATTTCATCTTGTACTTAATGGTAATTATGTAATAAGATAAAAGTGACAGTTAACATTTAAAATTTAAGTTGGGTGTAGAGTGAAGTTAGATGAGTTCAAATAAAATTTCCCTTTCATTATCAAAAGAAGACTACAACAAGGTTAGGAAAGTCCACAGACAGTACAAACCAACCTAAACATAAAGAAAAACAAGATCAGGCTCAAGACCAAAGCCATAATAGCCATAAAGGAAAGAAATCCTAGATATGAACA